TGAATGAAAAATTAGCACTTCGGGGCTTACTTTTGTACTCTGCATGAAGGCTATGGCATAAGCGAGAGCATTTGGTAAATGTTAAAGGATTTGGGCAAAAAACAGTATTCTATGGCACAGGCTCTGGGTTTGAATTCTGCTCCACTAATTATTGTGACCTGGGATGGTTAATTACTCATTCCGAGACTCGTTTTTGTAGCTGGTAGAGACTTGACGATGATAATAAAACATCCTAAAGTATGTACAAGCCAATGTCTACAGATTAATTTTAGTTCACTGCCTTGCACAGTATAGAGATTTAATGTGTGTGTGTTACAATGACCTACACGAAACAAAATTCGTATTGCCATCTTCGTATTGCCTGTTTTTGCTGCCTGCACATAGCATTATCATGTCATCCTACTTTGTAAATATGGAGAATTTTCATTAGAAATTTTATGTGGTTGAGATTAAGAATTAGGTGATCAACTGAAAAATCAGTTAAAGCTTTTAATAATAAAAAATTATACACATACATCTTAAATATTTTCTTTTGACTGAAAACATTGAAATAAGCATTTATTCACCTGTGTATTGAGATCTGGTCCAGGCTTTTCTTGGAATCTGTGTTTGCTAACTAGAGTCCTATGCTGCCTTTCTTACAAAAGCCTTACCTATAATGTATTGCCCATTCATTTAGGTTTCAGAACTTAAAGACATTTCTGAAACAAATTGATTATGTAATCCTTCTAGATGTTTACCTCGTTTTGTTTTCATAACTGACTCAACTACTCCAAATTTACAGTAGATTTTTGTTGTAGCGTATCCTTGCCAAGTCATCCCCAGAGCATTCCATTTACTTTTTATACAAAAATAATTCTTTTTTCACACTCGTGCTTATTGGTTTACATACTAGTCAATCGAATTACCTAACAATAGAACTAAAGCATATATAGAAACATATATACGATGAGCATAAGCAGATTCAGCACCAGACAAACAACTCACTTTTGTTAAGCATGTGACTCCACTGGTAAGAGTAGACAGGAGGTGGCATAATAGAGGAGAAGGCAGAGCTGAGAATTCAGGCTGCCGGCGCATCCTCAGTTTTACTGAGGAAATGGAAGGCATGGGTGAATCTGAAAAGTGGAGAATGGTTAAGAGAGTTCTGCAGTGAAAAGGGGTTTTGTAAATAAAGCAGTAGAGCAAGATGCAGGAAGGGGGTTAGAACAAAGTGTGTTTCCAAGTTCATTGGCTAATTAAGCTCTGTCAAACCACAGAATATGACAATACCAGAGCTAGAAAATGCTTTGGAGAACAACTAAATTCAACCTACCCACCACCTTCACCCACTACCATCATCTGCTAACCTTTGATAGATGAGGAAAGATATTTGGGTTTGAAACAGAAACTTCTTTAACATTGTCCAAATTAAAAATGGAGGGTGAGAAGAACACAGTTATTGGAGATGGAGCCTTTCAAGAGGCATGGTGGGTTTGAGACTACTTCCTGGACTGGTGAGAAGCACTAGATTGGAGTTTGTTTGGATTCCCTTTAGCACAGTGGTCTACACCAAAGATGAACAGATGGGAATGGGAGGAGGAAGAAAGAAAAAATGGAGAGAAAATTCCATCGAATTTTTTTAAAAGTCAAGCATGAAACACCAAAAAACAGAGTGGCCTCTTCTTCAAAAAAGTACTTCATGCTTCTGCAAACACACCTATGCTCACATCTTAGCTTTTGCAGATGCTCATCAGTGGTTATGCATTTTACACAGGAAAAATTTTTTTGAACTCTTATTAGATTTTAACTATTATCAACTGGCAAAGGAAATAGAGCCAACATTAAGATGACCTGTTTTCCCGTGGCATCTTTTTCATCGCTTTTCCAGGAAATGCAAAGGAAGTAAGAGAGGGGACCGATCAAGAGTTCTATTAATCTTGTCCATCCTCTGTACAATGACTAGTTTCAGAAATTCTATGTGGGAATTGGGGCTAACCAGAGATGGTGACCTAGACATCCAGTTTTGGCCACACGGAGTTCTGCCTTTTACCAAAGTGGAAAATTTTCAAATAAAACAGAGAGGCCCAATGGAACTTGCTGAAAACAAGTCTGCAGTTCCTCAAGGCTTTCTGATTTTTAAAAATATATATGACAATTCCATGCAGTGGCCTTGGAGAAATTACCTTCACTAACATAACTGCTCTCTAATCTTTAAGCCAACCTTGTCTGTTTATTTTCCTCCATGGATTTCTTTTACCTCAACTTCTCTGTATTTTGAAGAAATGGCAATAAAGTTCTAAAGCATGGCCATGTCTAATAGCCTAGAAAAATACAAATCAATTCAGCATTCTTGGTCTGATCTTATATTTGAGTGGCTCCGTCTAGTCAGGAACACAGACACCGTCTGTGGGGTTTTCTATCCCATCAGCATCAGTTCTTGGTAAGGAAGAAGAGAGTCAGCACTGATGAATGAGAAGGCTTAACTGAACCAAAGCGAAATGGGAAAGGGGGAATGATGGGAAGTCGGACAGAGCGGGGGATGGACAGGGTGGGGCTCACTCAGCAGTAGCATACGAGACAAAGACTTCCCTCTGGACCTTTGGGCCAGGCCTCTTGAAGGTAACAAAACCTTCGAAGTTGAACAGCAAGAGAAAAGAGCATTTCTTATTGATTTCCTTGTCTTTTCAAGTCGCACCAGGAAAACTTCATTTCCTAGCATTGAGGATTTTAGAAATATCTAAATATTTCTAAATATTTAGATCCACCACACAGGGGGCTTTGAATGATGTAGCATAATACATTCAAATGACCAAGAAGCAACTTCGTCTTGCTTTGTTTCCTTCAAAACACCGATTGTTATTTGTAATCATTTATTTCTTCGCGTCTCTGCTGTCTGTTGCCTCACTAGACTGTAAGCCCTTTGCAGGAAAGAACCATCTTTGTTTTGTGCACCACTCTATGCTGAGTCCCTTCCGTGATGCCTGGTCTACAGCAGGTACTCGATAAATGTATGTTGAATGAATAGATTCCACTTATTTCTGAAAAATCTTCAGCAAAACAGAACTTTCACCTAATCCTGGCCCACTTCCTTCCCCTAATGTCAACCGACTTTGACTGAGCCAATAAGAAACCCCAGGAAGACACGAGAACATATTTCCCCCAGAAATCCTCAGGTTATGGGGGTGTCTTGAAAAGACCACCAAAGCACTGTATTCTGTTTTGTTGATTAGGACTCCTTTACATCGTGGCACTCTGAAAATTGCTCTTGGTTAAAAGGTCCAGGGCCCTACGTGAGATATTTGGTTCATTTTCTTCTGGTTCATCAGGTCATATAGCAGGCCCAGTTAGCCCTGACATTTGTTTTCCAATAAGAAGTGAATAAAATTACTTAGATTAAAATGTCCAAGTACTTATGAAAAAAGCCATTCTTTACTTTTGTCACTCTTAATTCCCAAGGCTGTGCTGTTTCCTTAGCTTGGTATGCATTTCCCAGGTCAAGGGGTTTCTGTGAAATTTCCTGAATTCTGCAGACTTTGGAAACATTTATTGTGTTTGGCTTGACACCTCTCTCAAGCCTGAAAATAGTCAGTGTTGATCCCTTTACCAAAAACAAATAATAAAAACCAAATAAACCACCTCCTGCACACACACAAAAAACACTGTTTCTTCTGAGTGTGTCTTTCCTGTGATTAGTGTGAAAAGCTACTTCAATGCTCCCTAGAAGACCCTTTGAGATCTAGAATACGAGATGGAATACCCAGGTGAAGTTGCCCACCCAAGCAGGACCCTTGCCTGCAAAACCCTCTTTCTTTTGCTTCATAGAATTCTTCCTGCAATGTGTGTGGAAACTCCAAAAACTCTGCCTGCTCCCTGAAGTTTTTCCCAGTTATCCTGAAGAGAGGTGGTCATTTAATATTCTAGACATCGTTGACCTATGAGAGTCAAGACTGGATCACTTGATGTTCGGGAGGAAACATCGGTCTTAAAATTCTAGGACTCTTTGCAGCGTATTGCAAGCTCATGGGGACAGGGATTGTGTCCCACTCACCAGCATATCCCTGGTATAGTCCTGGTCAGCATTCAACACATATCTGTGAAATGAATGAAGGATCAGGGTGACTGCTGATGTAACCATACGATCTTCACACATCGCCAGCTCTTTGCTTCACTGTGTGTTTGGAACCATTACATCTTAGAATGGTTGAACTAACAGAGAGATGTCATCTAGTCCTAAACATGGCTCCTGTGTCCTCCCCGTTTAAATATTGTACTCTCTCCACCTTCACCTCCACGTTTCCAATTTCTTTCTCTGCCTCATTTTTTTTTTTAACACCACTTCTAACATAACTTATCTGTAGTTTGTTACTTATTTTCTTACTCCCCCAATTGGATTTAAACTCCACGAGAGCAGGGTTTCTTGCCTGTTTTATTCACTGCTTTATCCCAATGGCCCAGAACAGAGCTCGGCACATATAAAGGCTCAATAACTATTTGTTGAGTGAATAAAAGAATAACTATTGAATATGGACTCCATACATCAGAATCACTGCAAGAGTTTTTCTCAAATCCCAGCCCCAATTCCATACCTGCGAAATCAGAATGTTTAGGGATGCGGATACCAAGCATCTACATTTTTGTCAAGGAATCTGATATAGTTGTTCTGAAAACCACTTGTTCACACAATTCAATCATCTAGAGATAAATGAAGTCCAAGGAGATCACGTGGGTCATTTAGTGGTGCATCTAACTGTAGTAAATTTTATTCTAATGAGCTTTTTACCCCTGTCATCTATAGGCTGAATTTACTTGATAGGTGTGCTGCCATCATTATCTTGGTCTTTGAGATTAAGCTAACAGAGGCAAGAACTATGGCCCCTGAACTTACTTAGTGGTGCAGCTCAGTAGGCAGGAAGGTCATGAGGCTTCAGATAGTAAAAGATTCTAAGTCTAATGATGCCTTTGCACAGAAGAACCACCCTATTTCCACGCTAACATGCCTCTATTTCCCTTTCTTCTAGTTCTTGGACATCTCTATTAAATGGACCACCCAGGAAACATTTCCTCCAAAGTACCTACATTATGACCCAGAAACCTCTCGTCAGCTAATGTGTGACAAATGTCCTCCTGGCACCTACCTAAAACAACACTGTACGGCAAGGCGGAAGACCATGTGTGCCCCTTGTCCCGACAAGTACTACACGGACACCTGGCACACCAGCGACGAGTGTCTGTACTGCAACTTAGTGTGCAAGGAGCTGCAGTACGTGAAGCGGGAGTGCAACCGCACCCAGAACCTCGTGTGCGCATGTGAGGAAGGGCGCTACCTCGAGGTGGAGTTCTGCCTGAAGCACAGGAGCTGTCCCCCTGGATCCGGAGTGCTGCAAGCCGGTACGTGTCAGCTTTCAACTCGCGGCCAAATCAATTAGCATTGTACAAAGTC